GAATTTTGGCCGGTTATTTTATTTAACCGAAAATAAATGATATAATTTTGGCTGAAAATAAGGAAAGCTCACTTTTCTCTTTATATTGGAGTATTTGACTGTCTTAAGGCCTCGTTCTTCAATTGCAAATTCAAAAAATTGTGGCCGAATACATGCATTTTCCGAAAACTGTTTATTTTCTATGGGTTCCGTTTCTAAATTACGCAGTAGCGGAAACCACGTTATACAAACAGTATTTTGTCCTATGCTTTAAATTTAATTAAATTGCTTTCTGTGTCCATGTAAGCGATAAAATATTTGCATTTTTCTTTACGCTCCCAACTCTTCCATGTAGAAAAAATACAATCAAAACCTTTTTTATTAGCTTCTGTGGCCAAAAAAGACAGACATTGGCAGACAATACTTTTTATAACTGACATTTTTCCTTGTTTCTGAAAAACAGGGCGATTTTCGTAAACTTACCTTCACCTGATTCCCATCAACTTATGATTAGATTTTCCGGTTCTGGAAGAGATATCTTTAGTGTTCTCCTATAGCATAATGCAAAAAACAGAACGTTTGCTCTTTTCATACTAAATAGGAAATTTCTTCCATGTCCAGCAGTCTCCAAGTTCACCTAATTCTACCTATGCCATAGAAATAAACTATGATGAACATGCAATTTTCCGTAGTATCTTTGGTGTTCTCCTATATCATAATGCAAAAAAGGACAGAAGAGTTGCTCCCAAAATCGTAACCTTACAATTTTCATTATATTAAAAGGAACTTAACTTTCAGAAGATAAATTGGCGAACATAGGTTTGTTGTCTATAAATTCTCGTCAGGCCTTTACATTTATATGGTAATTAAGTAAATCAACTATGCGAGTTGGTGGAAAACCTAGTGCGGTTTTCAGGCAAGGGTTCAATAATCTGATCACTCTTAGGAGGGACTGGTATTCGAGCGAGGTGATAAACTGCTGGCTGTTGGATTAGCAGCTTTTGGCCATGGTAACTGCGGCGCTGGGACGAAGTTCTTTCGGGCACACAGGACCGGTTGGCGTAGCCTGATGGCGACCGCTTCTGCCATAGCCAACAGACACCAAAGAGTCCATAGGAGTGATCCGCAAGCTAATCGAAATTCCTTGGACAAGAAATACAAACAATTATTTTTAAAACTGACATTTTCCTTGTTTCTGAAAAACATCCAGCAACTTCCGATTTCGCCAAATTCTACATCTGCCATAAATTAACTGGGCAACAGTAGCTTATGTAGGCCCACTAATATACTCCTAGTCCCAGAATTTGTCCTTCAAAAACGGTGGTTATAGAGTTTTGGGGCGGTGGGAAAATAGTATAGGCAGAGAAGGAAATTTTTAGAAGTAATTCTAAAGTGAATAAATGTAGTCGAAGTTGCTTTCCACGGCC